CGTCACCAACTAGCCCTGAAAAAGGCTCCTACAGTTCTGATGCCATCAGAAAAAAGAGGCCCAAATACTGTCCTGACCAACGACGAAGTCGTCAACCGGCCAGCCAATAGGCGACCCGGTGGTTGATGACACTCGGGGATTACACGTGTTTGAGTATGCTTGGCTAGGGTTGAAAAAGTTTAGGCGTAGCCTATAGTGCTGTTTGCTTACAACTGTCTCTCAAATCACTATCATCAAGTGCCTGGCTAAAGGCCTAGCCAGTCACTATCCATGTGATGTTTGTCTATTTGATAACCTGCCGTCTACCCGGTTTCTTGTAGGCCGAAGCATGGATGCATTCACACATCGGTCCACCAGTTCATTCATTCATTGTATCACTCTTTCCATCCATGCATCCATATACACATACATCTTTCCATCCATCTATCTATTCATCTATCCACCCATCTATCCATCTATTTATCCATCAGTTCACCTGTCTTTGTGTTTTTAGTCTATCTTGCTAAACGATCATGCTTTTCATCATCTTCTTCTTCTTCTTCTTCTTCTTCTTCTTCTTCTTCTTCTTCTTCTTCTTCTTCTTCTTCTTCTTCTTCTTCTTCTTCTTCTTCTTCTTCTTCTTCTTCTTCTTCTTTTCTTTTCTTCTTCTTCTTCTTCTTCTTCTTCTTCTTCTTCTTCTTCTTCTTCTTCTTCTTCTTCTTCTTCTTCTTTCTGTCTATCTATCAATCTATTTGTCTGTCTGTCTGTCTGTCTGTCTGTCTGTCTGTCTGTCTGTCTGTCTGTCTGTCTGTCTGTCTGTCTGTCTGTCTGTCTGTCTGTCTGTCTGTCTGTCTGTCTGTCTGTCTGTCTGTCTGTCTGTCTGTCTGTCTGTCTGTCTGTCTGTCTGTCTGTCTGTCTGTAGCTAGCAAACTAACTGTCTATTTGCCTGCCTGCCTGACTGTCTAAATGTCTGCCTGTCTGTGTCACTGTCTCTCTATATGTCCGTTTGTGGCTGATTGTCTGTCAGTGTATCTCTCTTTGTAACTGCCAGCTAGCTACTCCGTTCCATCCGTATGTCTTTCAATTTCTCTGCCTGTCTGTCTGTTCGACCGCATGTATGTACATTTTTCTGCCTATCTGTTCCTTATTTCCCCCCCCCTCTCTCTCCCTCTCTTTCTCTCCCTCTCTCTCCCCCTCTATCTCTCTGTCTCTCTCTCTCTCTCTGCTGTCCGGGAATTTACAGGTTGCCGCTGTGTTGTTTCCTTTCTGGCTTGTCTTACATTTAAGCTTTTCTTCCGAAAAAGAGAATGCCTGTGACATAGGTTGCTGCACTCTTTATGGAAGGGAGGGGGGAGTTGTGAGTTAGACCCAGTTTCCAAACTTTTTGTAGGGTTAAAAGCGCTAGCGTGCTTAAATATACACCACGCGATAACAACGGCACTGCCGAACACCCCAGTAGTAGTGAGCGAAAGTTGGGTGACTGAAGGTCGACCAATCAAAAGTGAGCTAGTGTGTGTGTATCGTCGCAGTCCCTGGGGAGATTATCGTGAAACTGACCCAAATCATAACCTAGACACTTGATCATATGTTAGTGTGCCTTCACCCCATATTCTGCACCAAACACGGTGGCCTCTCTAAATTGAAATGACTGGCTGTTGCCGTCGAGCTCAAGTTACGACATGCGTCCAATATTGATTCCAGCCTAGTTATCAGGCTCACACTTTGTTGCAGGTGTCATTCGCCTGATGACAATTTATTCACTGGTGACAAATCATTGTTTAGCATTCTAAAGAGTATTTACACTTTCTTTCACGTTAACTTCACTTAACTGATCACTCTTTGATATGTCTCAGTGTCTTTTTTTTTTTTTCGTTCTCTTTTACTGAACTCTGTCTCTTGAACTAGGGTTGACATTTTTTGATCTTCCGAAATGAGGACACTTCCATATTTTGATCTTCCGAAACTAGAACACTTCCGTAATTTGATCTTGAAAAATAAAGACACTTCCATATTTTGTTTGTCCGAAATAAAGACACTTCTATAATCTGATTTTCCGAAACAAGGACACTTCAATATTTTGATCTTCTGAAATGAGAACACGGCTGATAACATTAAAAGTTAGTTGCGTATCCTTTAGAGGACGTTGCAGAACCAACCCCAGCAATTTTTTTTTTTTTTAGCTGTTGTGGTTTTTTTTTAAGTCAGGTTTACGTTCAGTAGTTTGCAATTGCTTCCTGGACGGTCGGCTTTTAAGTACCCTGTCAAAACCAACGCAAAGCGCAGGGCCCGTAGCTGGGATCGATCCCAACGCCATAGCATAGTGCCGTTCACAATACTTTCTGTTACTTGATTAATTAGCATTACGAACCGCGTTCGCAACGCCTAAGCCATAGAGGCCTACCTGATAACGTTACGTTCCATTTAAACTGTGTTCCCTGTACATGATTTTGATGACCTGATCTGTTTATAAAGTATTTTTTTTTTTTTTTTTTGCATCAGTTCTCCATACAATTGTCTGCACGTGAAATGTTTGAAATGAAATCGACTTGACTGAATCCACACTAACACAGTTTCTCTCACTGGACCATTGTGCATGGATTAAAGAAATAGTCTTTCTACCGAAGCATTGTGGAATGGCAAAGAACAACTGTGCTGTCTTCACGATTTTAGAGTACACTTCACTGCTTTTAGTTTTCAATTTTGTCACATAGGGTTAATTTTTTTAGCTTGCAAAATTGCGGACACGATCACGAATTTCCAAAATTGTTTGCTGAAGCTCCAATTTACTCCTGAAATAAGGACGTGATAACAAAACCTGACGACATTTGGCAACCCTAGTCTGCATAAGATCACCAGTTTTTTCCGGGTTAAATCAGTGTTCTTTTTCTTTTTGAATTAGTCAGTAAAGAACCTTATTCGCATCAGTGGCCCATAAGGCATATGACGCTAAACTCATTTTTATAATTTTTGTTATATGGGACTCTGTAAGTAAAGTAAAGTTAAGGTCCCTTTTTCATGCCTTAAGGCATATAGGGCTAGACCTATATTTTTATAGACCAATCGGCACAAGATGGGTGAAGTGGTCAGCATCACGCCAACTGCCTTTACTTCCTGGGACTGCACCCGGTACCCACTCAAGGCTGGGTCAACCTGGGAGTCAAAATCATTTTTGAAAAAAAAAAAAAAAAAAAGTCCGGCTTCACCAAGGATCGAACCCACGACCTCTCGATCCGCGCGCGAGCAACTAGCCAATGCGACACATAAGGGAGTCTGTTTTTAATAATATCAAGCCAGCACGTTTATCTTCCAGCGCATTGCCCAGTACTTTCCCGTTTTAGTCTTGGCTGATTTCGGAGTCAACGTCAGTTATGCCAATACTTCCTTCCTTGTAGGAGTTCACATCCAGGACCTTTGCACCATCAAGCAAGAGTCTAACCGTTGCTCTTCTTCTTGTACTGCTTGGTCAGATTTAGATACTAACAAATTTGACCTGGCTTAATGAAGAAGAAGAAGAAGAAGAAGAAGAAGAAGAAGAAGAAGAAGAAGAAGAAGAAGAAGAAGAAGAAGAAGAAGAAGAAGAAGAAGAAGAAGAAGAAGAAGAAGAAGAAGAAAAATAAAAAGAAGAAGGAGAAGAGGAAGTAGTAGTAGTGGTAGTAGTAGTAGTAGTAGTAGTAGTAGTAGTAGTAGTAGTAGTAGTAGTAGTAGTAGTAGTAGTAGTAGTAGTAGTAGTAGTAGTAGTAGTGGTAGTAGTAGTATTAGTAGTAGTAGTAGTAGTAGTAGAAGTAGTAGTAGTAGTAGTAGTAGTAGTAGTAGTAGTAGTAGTAGTAGTAGTAGTAGTAGTAGTAGTAGTAGTAGTAGTAGTAGTAGTAGTAGTAGTAGTAGTAGTAGTAGTAGTAGTAGTAGTAGTAGTAGAATGAGGAAGCAGAAGAGAGAAGGTAGAAGATGACAGAAAAAAAGGAAGAAAATGAAAGGATGAAAAAGGAAGAATAGAGGGAGGTAGTGAGAAAGGGAGCGAAAGGAGAGGAAGGAATAAAGAAAGGAAGTAATGACCACCAACATACGCATACAGAATTGCTTGGTACAGAATGAGTTATAGTAATCGCCTGTTGTGGGGTGTAGTATTTTAAATAACACGGAAGACGACTTAAATTTATCATTTGCCACAGACTCTTTCTGTTTACACAATGCAGATTTGTCTTAATGTGTCACAGTTTCCAACAATTTCAGTAATCGCTGGACTGTTTTACTAGGAATGGGGTAATAGAACTCACTGTCTTTGTCAGACATGTCCTGAAAGGCTACTAATTGAGCATTTGCTGAAATGGATGTGTTGGGGCAAAAATCGCAAATATCGCAGCATGAGATTAAACCATATCATAACATGACAATTGGACTTGTACATCTAAGGGCAAACGGAAGAAGTAATTGCCTATTTTGTCTATAACGAATAACAAGAAGGAAGTGTCTTTAGTAAACATTTTCCCCACACCAAATACGTTATTGCGACGTCCGTGGCTAAGGCGTTGCGAGTCCGACTCGTAAGCCAGCATACCGCGATCGAAACCCACTGCAGGCTGCGTGGATTTTTGTCGTGGTATGGGACGTCGCAGGTCGACCCAGCCTAAAATGGGTACCAGGATGGGCTGTCCTGGGAAAGTAAAGACAGCCGGCGTAATGCTGACCACATTACCCACAGAGTGCTGATGGTCTGTAAAAATATGGGAACTTTGCCCATATGCCCGATGCGCCGAAAGGCGTGAAAAGGGATCTTTACTTACTTACTACTTTTAAATACGTTATTACTAAAATTGGCGAAAACTGTGACAATCAAAACTTACACATATAAACTACTAAAGTATGTCTCACTTGTCCTTTCTTTTTCTCTTCCACAGCAAAGCGACATAATGCTACCGAAATTTCCATCGCCAAAAAATATAGTTTGTCTAGTTATATCTTGTGGGGCCTTTATTTTCATTGGCCTTTTTGTGGTCGTTAGAATGCCTAACTTCGAAATGATAAGGATGCAGAATTTCTTCTCAGAAGTTTATAAATACACAGATATCAAAAATATATCCTTGTCATTCTCGAAAAAAGGCATAAATACATCGTTGTCATTTTCAACAAACGCCAGTGTTACAACAGTTATAAAATATTCAAGTAAAAAGTTTATGACAACAACAGTTAGTGTGCCTTTCAACAGGTCTCATTTTAAAGGAAAAGGATTTGATGAATCGTTTTCAAAAGAAAATATCGGTAGTACATTGTCAAATATTTCTTCTATATTTCAAGTAAAGGAAGTTAGCTGTTCGGCCATTTTTAATGCTTCCGAGAAAGAAATTTCTAAAGCTAAAAGAATAACCAAACGTGTTGGAAATTCAATTTCTGATGAAAAGTATATTAACCTAACATATAATTGTACAAGTTTTATAGCACAAAGAGGATATATCATGTCTTCATTGACAGAGGAGGAAGAAAACTTTCCTCTCGCATTTTCGATTTCCACCTACACAGGTGCGGAAATGTTTGAGCGCCTTTTAAGGGCAATATATCGCCCGCAAAACTACTATTGCATTCAAGTGGATAGATCTGCATCTGAAAAATTCTTCAGGGCTGTGTCTAGTATAGTAGACTGTTTCCCTAACGTGTTCCTCGCCAGCAAAAGAATCGATGTCATTTGGGGAGAGTTTACCGTCCTCGAGACAGAGCTGATCTGTATGAAGGATTTATGGCAGTTCCCAAAGTGGAAGTATTTTTTTACGCTCACTGGTCAGGAGTTTCCTCTGAAGACGAACTTTGAACTTGTGAAGATTCTTACTGCCTACCAAGGCGCCAATGATGTGATGACTACGGTGAAACAGTAAGTATTAGTTGCTTAGGTAATTTGGCGTCCGTGGCTTCGGCGTTGCGAGTTCGACTCGTAATTCCAACATACTGCGATCTAAACCAACTGCTGGCTGCGTGGTTTTTGGGATGTTATGAGTCGTCGCAGGTCGACCCAGCCTAAAATTGGTACCAGGATGGCTCTTCTGGGGAAGTAAAGACGGCCGGCGCAGTGCTGACCACATTACCCACCCAGTGTCGATTGGTCTGTAAAAATATGGGACGCTCTCCCAATATGCCCGATGCGCCTAAGGTGTGAAAAGGGATCTTTACTTTACTTTTACTTTAAGTAATCTACCGATCATCCACATTTTACATCAGACAAAATTGTTTACACAGGACACAATCGACTTGGCATCCACATGTACACAAAATATAAAATCAGCGAATCAGCCATATGCACATGTGGATTGGCACCTTAGACAACAGATCATGTCCTCCAAGACTGTCCTAAAGACAACATATGAAAGCAAAACATGTGGCTATTAGAAACACTGGTGCATGTCAAACTTTACGGGTCGCTGAGTGAATTACAAAAGACAGTGAAGTTCATTCTAGAGACAACATTGCAGATATATATATTTTTTTTTTCAAGCGAACGAAAGAAGATGAAGAAGAAGAACATCGGACAAGTCCACAAACGCTCGGATCCTATCTTCAGTATCTCCCTCAGTGTGTGGTTGCTGATGACACCGGTTCTGTGTTGGTTTACTATTCTTCTTTGGCTACCTGTATAGTGTTCATATCTGCAACACCTCTTTTGAGCTGAACTTCTTGTAGTCTTATCAAAGTTGTCGATTCGCCCTCTTCTCCCGAACGATCTGCTGGTCCACGAGAGCAGCGAGAGCATCAGCTGGGTCCATTGCTTGTCCTGTGCTAAGTTCTAAACTGCAACAGATACAACATTTGCCGAAAACTGTGAGTTTGTGGCATCGAAAAGAACTAACAAACTGTTGTCTGCTTGTTAAATGAACTGTTCATTGTGAAAACTGAGTTTGTGGCATCGAAAAGAACTAACAAACTGTTGTCTGCTTGTTAAATGAACTGTTCATTGTGAAAACTGTGAGTTTGTGGCATCGAAAAGAACTAACAAACTGTTGTCTGCTTGTTAAATGAACTGTTCATTGTGAAAACTGAGTTTGTGGCATCGAAAAGAACTAACAAACTTTTGTCTGCTTGTTAAATGAACTGTTCATTGTGAAAACTGTGAGTTTGTGGCATCGAAAAGCACTAACAAACTGCTGTCTGCTTGTTAAATGAACCGTTCATTGTGAAAACTGTGAGTTTGTGGCATCGAAAAGAACTAACAAACTGTTGTCTGCTTGTTAAATGAACCGTTCATTGTGAAAACTGTGAGTTTGTGGCATCGAAAATAACTAACAAACTGCTGTCTGCTTGTTAAATGAACCGTTCATTGTGAAAACTGTGAGTTTGTGGCATCGAAAAGAACTAACAAACTGCTGTCTGCTTGTTAAATGAACCGTTCATTGTGAAAACTGTGAGTTTGTGGCATCGAAAAGAACTAACAAACTGCTGTCTGCTTGTTAAATGAACCGTTCATTGTGAAAACTGTGAGTTTGTGGCATCGAAAAGAACTAACAAACTGTTGTCTGCTTGTTAAATGAACTGTTCATTGTGAAAACTGTGAGTTTGTGGCATCGAAAAGAACTAACAAACTGTTGTCTGCTTGTTAAATGAACCGTTCATTGTGAAAACTGTGAGTTTGTGGCATCGAAAATAACTAACAAACTGTTGTCTGCTTGTTAAATGAACTGTTCATTGTGTAGGTTACTGGGCCCCATTGTAGTGAGGAGGCCGGAAATTTTGGGAGGGGGGGGGGGGAGTTTAAACCTATTGCCCTCTAACAAGCATGTTGTAAAATTCGACTAATAAGAGATGTGTCCTTCGAAATCAAAATGACTCTGCGTGAATGGCGCTGAGCCAGTAGTCTACACAAAAATAAGCTAGATATGTAAAGCAGAAAGTAAGACTCTGTTTCTGCAACAAGACTAAACTCCAGAAGTGCACGTACAACCAGAAACTTCAGCCGGAGTTTACAGCTGGTGACAGCCAAGAAAAAGAAGAAGAAGAAGAAGAAGAAGAAGAAGAAGAAGAAGAAGAAGAAGAAGAAGAAGAAGAAGAAGAAGAAGAAGAAGAAGAAGAAGAAGAAGAAGAAGAAGAAGAAAAAGAAGAAGAAGAAGAAGAAACAGCAGCAGAAGAAGAAGAAAAAGAGGAAGAAGAAGAAACAGCAGCAGAAGAAGAAGAGAAAGAAAAGAAAACGAAGAAAATAAGAAGAAGAAGAAGAAGAAGAAATTATCCGTCAGGTGGTTGGGGAAACTATTTTCCCAGCTGTCCGCGAGTGCAGAATGTTTTCCGAGCACTCTTCTTTTGTTCTTTACTCCTAGAATGGCTCGCGGAGTCAGGGCAGGAAGCGATTGCTTGAACGGGCCACTTTCTTCCCTTCTTATCGAGTGTCTTTGTATGTATGTGGTCATTGTTCTGCGTGGTCAACCTCTGGTTCTGTTACAGCTTTATCTGTATAACATTGCTCTCTGTGGTCCGATGTCAATCTTTTACATGGCCAAACTATTTGATTTGTTGTCCATCTATAAAGTTCAGTATTGGTTCTGTGCCGACTCTCCTCCTAGTATCATCGTTGCTAAGTCGATCTATCATTGTTGCAGAACACTGGCCTAGATTAGTTTTACTTTTTGTTTCATAATCTTCTCTGCCCCCCCCCCCCCCCCCCCTCCAACTTTGTTTCGGGTGGTTAAATTTGCGGTTTTTCTCCGATATCTCCTTTCACAGGTGTCAATTTTACATAGATTAGCCTTTGATAATGTCCAAGTCTGGCACTGGTAGCACAGTGTTTGTATTAATATGATGTTTATAATCTGTTTCTTGGCGCTCATACCTGTATTTGGGTGTCTTAGTAACAGTATCAGTTGGTATATAAGTACAGAACATATTTCTTAGATGTTTAAATTCTTTAACCTGCTTCGGACATGTACCATTCTACCGGATGTGTAGCGAACTAGAAATTCTGTTGAGCTGCATTAGTTCGGTGTTACTTTGTATAATAGAAGTAATTAAACAACACCACTATTGTCGAGCTATGTGAGAAAGCTAAAGAAATTTCACTGAAGCAACAGGCGAGGAAAAAACGCCGACTGTGGATAATACACATGCGGATAATCTAAATACCACATAATTATAATGACCTTGCAATTGAATGCACACTGTCAATGAAATTAGGCCAGAACAGAGGGAGGAAAACAAAACACGGAGAAAGGAATGAGAGAGTGAAGTAAAAGATATCTGTAGGACGAGTGGTAAGTCGCATGCGATAGTTAATAATAAGAAGACTTGGCATGAGTTGACAGAGAGCCTAGGAGCCAAGGAGTCGAGGAGAGAGGATGTAGGTAAAGGAAATAAGAAAAGGAACTCCTTTTTGTTGATGATAAAGGCAAGATATAATTAAAAGTCCTCCGTGTGGGTTCCGGGGCCCCATTGTGGGGAAAACAAGAATAGACCCACTGCCTCCCCAAAAGCATGTCGTAAGAGTCGACCAATTGGGGAGCTTCCTTTGAAGTGGGAACCAACAGTATGTATTCACGAGAATGAGATCTGTAGAACTGATGCACACGCAACACTCAGGTTCTTGAGCAGGACTGCAGTTCAGTAGTGGACGAGCAACCAGAACCTTCCGCCAGAGTTTACAGCTGGTGAACGCGAAGAAGAAGAAGATAATTAAAAGTTAATATATAAAAAAGTAAAGTACCCTTTCATTGTCAATGGCAATCGGGCAATGTGGAATTAGCATCTATATGTCTCAGGAATATACTTTTTAACAGAACATTACATAACATAACCCTTAATCACTTAGTGTCGTGGATGTGTATTGATAGAAGTACAGGCACATAAAACCCGCAATCTTTCTCCGTCTGATTCATGAATAAACTTATGATAGCCTAGTTTTGTCCATTTCTTAATGTTGTCATTCGAGGTTCTTTTCTTTTGCCCTCCTCTTCTTTAAGCACACCCCCCCCCCCTTCTCCTCCTCAGTGTTTCTGGAAGCGCAGTCTTCTCAATGGAATCATGTCTCACCGCGTGCCCAAACCAAGCTAGTTTGCGACGTTTCACCACAGCCAAGAGAGGCTCCTGATGTCCCGCAAATTTGTATATTTGGTCTCTGAACTTTTGCAGCGCGCGCACACACAAACACGCACTCACGCACACACACACACCCAGTAAATGTGTTTCTCCTAACGCTTCATTGATGTCCCTGAATGGGTTGCAGAGCACCAGTAAGTGGATTGTTTAAGAAAACACCCACTGACCCCCTCCCCTCACAACAAATATATCATGATGGCGACTAATTAGGGGATGTTTCGTTCGTAGTCGGAGTGCATCGGTCTGATAGGCATGGGACCAGCAGTCTGCATACAAATAAGCCAGATCTGTAAAACGGATGTGCAAGCAAAATTTAAATTCTAGAACAAGACCCAAAGTCCAGAAGTGGATGGGACACTAAAACTTTCCAATGGAGTTAACAGCTGCTAAACACTAGTAAGAAGAAAAGAGGAGAGGATGTCTCCCTAAACAATTCGCTGGGGTAACTGGAGAGAGAAAAGAATAATAATAAGAGTGAGAGTGTGTATGTAGATACATACATACATACATACATACACACACACACACGCACGCACCCACGCACGTACATACATACATACATACATACAAACATACATACATACGTACGTACATACATACATACATACATACATACATACATACATACATACATACATACATACATACATACATACATACATACATACATACATACATACATACATACATACATACATACATACATACATCCATCCATCCATCCATCCATCCATCCATCCATCCATCCATCCATCCATCCATCCATCCATCCATCCATCCATCCATCCATCCATCCATCCATCCATCCATCCATCCATCCATCCATCCATCCATACATACATACATACATACATACATACATACATACATACATACATACATACATACATACATACATACATACATACATTCAAGTAAACGACTTTGTACCACGCTTTTATTGGGCAGACAGGGATAGATCTACATTTTATAGACAAATCGACACTCGGTGGGTGATGTTGTCAGTATCACGTCGGCAGACTTTACTTCCCAGGATTTTACCTGCACCTGCTGTGAGTCAAGGTCCTTTCTGAATCCACAACCGACCTTCGACTGGAGCATCTTGCTGTGTGTCTCTGTGTGTGTATACATGCGTGCGCGCGCGCGTGTGCGTATGCATGTATATATGTGTGTGAGTGTGTTCGTTGAAGCTTATTGCTACTTATAAGTTCTTATTTGTTCGCAGTGCAAATCCAGAACGATGGTACAATACACTTCCCCCTCATGGATTAAAACCGGTTAAGGGATCCGTCCATATCATTGTTAACAGGTAATGATTTGTGTGTGTGTGTGTGCGCGCGCGCGCGTGCGTGCGTGTGTGTGTGTGTGGAGTAATACTTTATATGTATGTATATATATGTGTGTGTGTGTGTGTGGATATATATATATAAACTATGATTATAATTACAGCAATTATAATTAGCAATAGAACAAAGAGGTGTTAATGAACATTTAGTAAATGAAGAGATGCTAAAACAAGAAGCAAGTGGTTCCTCTTATTTTGAACGTGAATGGAAACAAACAGTCGAATAAGTAAGTAAGTAAATTTTACCCCACCAGGACTTGTCAAGTCAAGTAAAGATCCTTAGGCGCATCTGGAATATGGGAAGAGCACCCATATTTTTACAGACCATCGGCACTATGTGGGTAATGTGGTCAGCATTACGCCGGCCGTCTTTACTACCAGGACATTACACAAACCATAAACACCTGGCGACACAAAGTGGCACCATGCGGATGAGGATCAGCCGTGATGAGGTCTCACTAAACTCGTTCAGCCGTTAGGCCATATTTATGGCCCGGCTAGATTTAGTGCCCGCGGAACAAGGCAAGTGGGAGCTTCAAAGTAACAGAAAATTACATTCCACAAGGAGACGACTTGTCATAACAGTTGAATACAAATGTTTTGGGGGAACTGAGAATGAAATAGGAGGTTTAAAAAGAAAATAGACACATTAAATGATTTAGCAACATTAAAAGACATGACAATTTTGTAAAAACCACAGAGGGAAGAACATGTTGAAGGAAGCAGGCAAAATTAGACAGGGATTAAAGCAGGAGATAACATCCAGAGCTGGGTGAAGACTTGGCACTAGCCATATTTAACCATATTAAATGCTTCTATCTTTACTTTTAACTGAGAAAAAATGATGTGGTGGGTCACGTTTCGAACGTCTCTCGAACAACCAGGTGAGAGGGACTGGTGGGCATCTACTTCTTCTTATATCGTAGTAGGGTCTGAGCGCGACATCTTCTAACATCTGATGAAGCACAATGAGTTCCGAAAAGTATATCATGTCAGGGTACATTCTTATTAGCCGACTACAAACAGGGGAAATCCACAAGTCACGGAACAGTCAAATATTTTAGGATTGCCTTGCTGACTGGCAAGGGCGATCATACCCCTTTACAACAGCATGCATCAGTGC